TTACCGGGAAAACGTACAGTGTGATGAGAGTAAAATATATTTCATACCATACACTGATACTTCGGCAGTGTAAGACAGATGAAAATCTCACATCTGGTAGTACCGCATGATTGCACATCCGCCGTTTCTTCTGGATGTCTTGGGGAACCAGGGACAACTTAAGCAGGCCACCCCTCCATGGGATTTAAGATCATGCAGTGCATAGGGCGCATCGGTCTAAAATGAGAAATATCTTTTCCTTTCGTTGTACTGTACGTTTTCGCCGTTCAAATGCGGGCTGATGCGTTTTAATATTACTTGTCGATGACGGTATCGAAAGTTCCGCTCAAGGAGTCTACCCCATAACATCATGCTTATGTTTTCGAAAGTTAATACTCTGTTAAGTAATTCTGAGAAAAGCAACTCATTAGATGGGTTTACAAATTACTACGCAACCGCTCGAAAGTATTACATAGGAGCAATAGAGAACTTCGTCATTCAGAGAACAAAGACCAATCTGTCAAGCTTGAGAAAAGCAAACTGATGTGGAGGAGCGTGAGCGACGCGTGAAAACGAAGCACGCATGAAGAAAACAAAGCCTTGGCGCCAGTAAAGTCACTAAAGAACGATAAAATAGCAGATTTGACATGATGCAGAATACGATATAGGAAGGACAGGTCCTCCACTCTATAGCGACGGTCAGATTGCACTAACATAATCAAAGAAAAACAGTTTCTGAAGAGGCGCGTGAAGGAGGCATTAATTATCCAGTCGTGCGAGAATGTCAACAGTGACAATAAATATGAGCAGTACATGGACTGGGGGACTTGTCGTCTCTGCCACCCAGAAATTATTTAACCAGTACACGGATCGAAATTTTGCTTAATGGCTCCAAACCTAGCAACATCTGACGCCAACAGGAAAACCTTAGAAATTCTATCAATGTCATAACTTGAAGAAGGTTCCTGAAACATGAGCGAAGCGTCGATATGGGTCAATCATGTGACTGGCCATATTACTTTCTGTGCATTAATAAACCGTGTTCCATGCAATTTTTCACTATGGCCACGAACGTACGAAGCAAATGCTTTATCTTAACAGACATGATGCAACACTGTTTGAGCATCTACAGTGGGTGAAGTAGTTGGGTCGAGCAAGTAGAGCAAAATTTACGGCAAATTGTAGATGTCTTTATTACACAAAAATTGGCTTATGAAGTACAAGGGCGATGCGATTTCGCTACTTAACCAAATAAATAACTTATGCGCATTATTTTCTTGGAGATACAAGCATACAGCATGTTTCACTGATGAACCAAACTACAGGTCAAAGGATTTTTAAAATGTGTTTCATTTTATCTGGCAATTTGATACAGTTTTCAGTTTACCCACTGAAAATGCGTAAATAACATCAAGGAATGGCTCGCTTAACCCCCTACCCCCAAACAGTAATTAAGAAGAGGTAGTGTAACCGTTAGTAATGCGAAACAAAACATGCAGCTGAACTTACGGCGTCAGACGCTGAGGTGAATTCGTTTTTTTCAATCGACTCCAAAGCCATCCACTTGACCGGTCTGTTTTCGTTGTCTCCCAAGCAATGGTAGTCCTGCGGAAATAAATCCCTCGAAAGACCTGTGTCACACAACTGAACCGTCATTTCTTCGGAAATACTAAAAACAGAAGCAAAAGATATAAACACGTAATCGCGCATTGTAAATATGAAAGAAGAAAACAACTACCTGAGCATGAGGAAACTCGGAGTCGATTAAACAATTCCAGCTCGCACAGAACTGTACCATCTGTCAATTTTGACATCTCCTGCCAGGGTCCTAAGACAGACGAAATAGCAATGAATGTGGACGGGAAATTGTCTAATCATCAGCCACTAAAGGTGCAACAGCTACTGCCAAGACTTTTCAAATATCCTTTGTATTCTGTACGCAGTTCGACCGCCATTCTTATACCTTCGTTAAAACAACTGCCTTCATGCCGCACAACGCGCACCTGAAAGAGGCAAGGTAAAGGTCGATTTCTGTGTACAGTGCTGCTCATTTCTCAGTCCAAATATTCGACAGGTTGGCAAAGTACTGCACGCAAGGACGATCATCCCATTTAATTCTGATCGGATGATGTGATCGCTAGAGATGATTGAGCAGATACACTTAAACCGGTCGACTTCCCCTATGGCTTCCAAACTTTGTTCCACTAGTATATCGGCTGTTTCTGTTTAGTTCCGCACAAATTCGAACTTCTGGGCCTTTACAGCAAAGGCCCTTTTTGCAATTGTTATGCAAAAAAATGCTGTTAGGTGAGACAGTCCGCTCTCCATACTACTCACCATGATAATACCATTTGCATACTTCAGGCCCATAAGATATCTAACCGGCGGATACTCTGAACTGGAATTTCCTTCCAGAATCAAACCTTCGTCTTTGCAAGGTCAACATAGTTTCAGATAAGAAAGAGTAGAACAAAGTTGAACAGCAAAGGAAAAAGCACATCTCCCTGGAAAATTCCACAGTTAACAGGGAACTACTCACGCAGCTTTCCTTTAACTCCGATTCCTGCATACATCTTTTCTAAAACAGAAATGACGTGCTCAAGTATAACATAGAGTTTCAAGACTTTTCACATCGTCAGACAATGTAGTGAATCAAATGTTAGTTTACACCCGTGGATACTGGTATGCCAGAACAACTGGAACAGTCGGCGCTGTTCAACAGTCGTACACAGACTGAAAATCCTGTCAGCACAGGCGTACCCCATCCAGAGGCCTACTTGATTTCTGACAAAGTCTCGTGTCAACTTTCAGCCTTTCTAAGATTTTAAAGGATATGAGTTTCCTGAGAACTGATGGTAGTGTGATACCACAATAACCATAACACTCTGCACGTTTAAATAGAGGGGCAGTTTCATTAAACTTTCCTTGGATGCGTTTGCAGGTCCACATCTGATTAAAAGAGGCATGCATCGTTTCTACCTTTCCCATAAATCGATACATATCTAACTCCGGAAAAATTCGATCCACCGCGCAGGCCTTCTTTACCTTGAGGTGTTGCGAGGATTTTTGAATTTCTAGTTTGTAGGTAATCTGTACATCTAGTGTTGGCAGAGAATCAACTTGAATCAACTGTCGGAAATGACGAATCTGGATGGCAGCCGATGAGCAGATGCAGGAAATACTCATCTTCGAAGGCGTTTCTTCTGACACGTCAAATAGACAGCTCTAGCGTTTTGGATAAGAACACACAGAGTCCCATGCTTACCGGACAACTGAATCTGTTGCACCCCTGTGAACATAGTTCGTCATTCACCCTTTCTGGCTGCCCTGTCGATATTCGTGATCTTCTCTCCAGCCAAAGTTCCCTGTCACAACTGTTGAGTGAGAGCACCAACGAAACGGCGATAGCTGTCTTTGGGGGGGGGACGAATTAGGATGTTGCAAGTACTTCTCATTCATGTGATTCCTTTGCACTCTAAGGGTTACTACGTTCTCAGTAATCCGTGCAGTTTGACTGTCCTATTTCTAATCGCAAATATGTTTTTCGCCGAATAAAATGACGCCATCATCGAAGTCTTCACAAGTTTCATCGACTTTGCCATTTCTTGGCCGACAATTAAATAACTCCCTAATTCATTTCGGTACGTTGACTGTGCCACCTCATCATATTGTAGACTGTCAACGTCAAGAATCTAATGTTTCAACCAAACGGTGATTATTTTATTAATCAATCATTACTTAATCATAAAGATTAATTTTAGTCGAAGTTTTGCTATGATCATACGAACGAGCTGCGCCATTTGTGGCTGCTAAGGACGTTGTTCAATTGGGAGTATAGACTTCCGTTAGAGAAAGGGAACAGAATCGCCGAAAGCTATGTCCCGGGTAACGGGAAGCCTTTTAGAAACACTTCATTTCACTTGCGATGTCAATACCGCGACGGCCAAGTACGCATGCCGATGTGATGTAATCAGCACGCACCTTCACGCTTAGGCTGCCTGTGACAATTCTGATGGTCGTGACGCAG